AGCCGCTGAGAGGTCCAAAAGAACTAGGACAGAGGAATAACCTCTGTCCCGGGCCCTCCAGAGATCATTAACCAACGTGACCAATGCCGTTTCCGTGCTGTACCCCGGCCTGAAGCCCGACTGGAGGGGGTCCAGATAATCTGTTTCCTCCAGGTGCCGAGGGAATTGCTGTGCAACCACACTCTCAACAACCTTCGCCGCAAAGCGAAGGTTGGAGACTGGGCGATAGTTGGCCAATACATCTGGATCCAGGGAAGGCTTCTTCAGGAGGGGCCTCACCACCGCCTACTTTAAGGTCGCGGGGAAGACACCCTCCCGTAGAGAAGCGTTTATAATTCCCTGGAGCCAGGCTCGTGTACCCTCCCGAGCCGCCAGTACCAGCCAGGAGGGACACGGATCCAATAAACATGTGGTCGCATTCAGCCTCCCCAGGATCCTGTCCACATCCTCGGGAGCCACAGAGTCAAACTCCTCCCATGTAATCATCTCAAGACCTGCTCTCTCCACCTCCCCCTGGGGCACCCAGTCGGAGTCCAACCCCTCCCGGATCCGAGCAACTTTGTCATTCAGATATTGTGCAAAATCCTCGGCCCTCCCCACCAGGGGGTCCCCCCCCCTGAGTTGAAGGAGGGAGCGGGTCACCCTGAAGAGGGTGGCCGGGCGGTTATCTGATGACGCAATGAGGGTGGAGTAGTAGTTAGACCTCGCCACCCTCATTATGTTATGTTATTGTTCCTGGCTTGTTTAAAAAATGAAACTCCTCTCTACAGGTTTGTCAGACTATTATTGTCACTCATAGAGAGTGAAGGGGTATCCGACTTTTATGAAGTCATCATTCAAACACTGTAGTTCTTATCTTTTGAGTCTAATATACCATTTGCTGCTCACCTAGCCTCTTCCTTCATCTTTGCCCTCTGGCTAAAATCTGAAATGCATCCCATTATTAAACTATACAAGCTCAGCCTACCTTTTCCCATCTTCTCAACCCCTTGCTTCCCTGTTACATTTAATTCACTTGATAGACCGCTTTTACCTTTCTACTATCACTTCCACGTATCCATCCAACGGACCTACTTTACCTCACCATCACTATATACTACTGGCCCTCCTTTCCCTTTTATCCCTCTCTAGAACAAGTCTACTGGCACATAAATACTGTCTCTGTCCAGAAAACAAACATATGCTCCAGTTTAGTGCATATATAAAGCCTATGTGCTTTAATCCAAGCACAGACTACTCAACGTTGACTGATCTGTACATATAATGGCCAGGAGATCCTTAAAATATAGGATGTTGCATAGTCCCAGGAAAATGTATTTGAGTTAGGGAAGATGCTGATGGGTATTATCATTGCATCTTATTACTGAACACATAATTTTCCTGAGATAAGCAATTACAAAGTCCTGAAAAAGATATAGCTTCTCTAAAACATACTAGACCTTCTCCAAACACCCTCCAAGTTGGGTTCAAACAACTACATATTTTTAGAATTTGGTGTTTACAATACTGCTGGAGGAAGCAGTAACAGCAGCATGTTTGGTTCCCTTTTCCAATATAACTGTCAAAGATACCTAACTTTCATTCTGGAGAAACAGACATAAACTCTAATGAAAACACAGCAAATAAAAGGAAAATAACATCTTCACTGATCTGTCCCATACCAGGACTGCAAGACTGAACCCAACTGAATTAATCATGAAATTGATCTATTGTAACATACTTTTACACTAATCTGTAACACATTTGAGTCAATCATGTCAGCAATTACCTTGCAGTGAGGAGGGAAATTTGCAATTTAAGTCCCATGTTTAATTTCATCTCACATTCATAAGAGAATTATTGGGAGAATAGACTTTAACATTTAGAATATGTGTCTTCTTAAATATCTTAACGTTCTTCTGACAAGTATTATGCCAACATGAATTTCATACAAAATCAAAGCAATAGGCTGTACAATCCCACTTTCGAGAAAGGCTAATCACTTACTTGTCCAAGGCTTTGGCAGCTTCACGAATTCCACGAGCTAATCCATCATGGATAAGTGCAGTTTTCAACACTTCTTGAAGGGCGGTGTTGACATCCATTATGCCTCCAGCAGTTATGCTATATAACAATATGAAATAAGCAAGCTAATGCATATAACAATATAAATTCCTTAAACTTGGATACAGATCTATGCCACATCTAGCCATTAGAATACAAAAATTAAGTCTATAAAATATGCATTTTAGCAAGCAAATGCATAGTGAATATATATAGAAAACTATCATCTGATATAGAGGATGCAAAAGAACTAAAAGTCATGGAAGAAAAAAAAATCTATTGTGTCAAATTTATATTTGAGAACCAGTTTGATGCATTGGTTAAGGTACAAGCCTAGAAACAGAAGACTGAGTTGCAGTCCTGCCTTAGGCATGATCAACTAGCTAGGCAACTTGGGCCACAACTACAGTCTTAACCTAACCCATAGGGTTGTTGTGAACTGTATATGTGAAAAAAAGGGCAGGATACTGTATTTAAAAAAACAAAACTGATATTTCAATGCAAAGTAGAATAAATTAGTTACAATTACTTGAAATTATAATTTTTTTCTCCTTGCTGCTGAATTTGGCTGCAGTTACTTCCTTACATCATAATTTTCTACTCCATTCAAATCCAAATTACACTCAAAAACTTTCCTATCCAGTCTTTATTCCACCTCAAATGATGCAGAACCTCTCCCCATCAACCCTACAGAAAAGTTATGAAAACTTTTTCATCAATGCTTCAGATTTTAGATATTCAGGGCAGAATTTAAACAACTCACACCATCTCTGTACTTAAAAAGTCACCATCTGTAAAAAAAAGAAAAAGTAGCCGGACCCACTTTTTTTGGCTCTTGTTCTTTTTTGCCCACTAGTGATATAAATCTCATGCTGTTTTTTTTCTTAACAGCAGATAAATTCCCGTTCTGCGACAATCAACTATTCAGTGATAGGAACATTGCATAGCTATATCACGTAAATATATTTGAAATATATTTCAATTTATAAATGTATAAACATGTTTATATATTTACATAAATATAAATGTAGAGAGATAAGGTAACCTTTATTGTCACTTTTTTGTTAACACACTGGCATACATTAAAACATGATATTCAGATGCTTGAATATTTGTATATTCTGAGAATATATATATATATATATATCCTTAATAGTTGCAAAAATGCAAATCCCAGGCATATTTGTTCAATAATGCAATCCTCGATCTCCGGGAGAGGTATAAACCAGTTGTTTATTGTTAAAACAATAATTAAAACAATAAAAACAGCTATATACAAAGTTAAAATATACAAATATACAAACTATATACAAAGGTTTTTTTATTGTTTTAATTATTGTTTTAACAATAAACAACTGGTTTATACCTCTCCCAGAGATCGAGGATTGCATTATTGTGTGTATGTATGTATGTATGTATGTATGTATGTGTATATGTGTGTGTGTGTGTATATATACACATACACACACACACACACACATATATACACATACATATATTCAGATTTCTTTTTTGCTGACAAGAGTTAAAAGATTTAAATGGGAGACTAGTATAGCTATTTCGGACTCATTTGTCCTCTTCAGCTAGCCACACCCTTTATGGGATTCGAACCAAATTAATCTGAAATTAATTAAATGAAATTAATTCAGTTAACCTGAATTTGTAATGTATCGCAGTTGCGACTTGAGCCTGCTTAACGCCCCTAGTTGGGGGGCTGCAAGGCAAAAGAGATTATAAAAAAAAAGTAGATCTGCAGTATAGCAGTCAAAAATGCCAAGGTTTAATCAATCAGACCGGTCTGTCTGAAAAACTTTTCCTTCCTTCCTTCCTTCCATCCATCCATCCATACATATTCTGCCATTACAGAATTTACTGGCGAGCAAAAATTAGAACAAGAGACATTTTAATAGCTCTTGGCAGTAATCAAAGAAAGCTGGGGGGGGGAGCACTAGGCCCCACCACGTGGACTAAGCCGCCCCGCGCTCCATGCACAGAACCCTGCTTGGCGAACAAGGAAGCGCGCGCGCGTCTCAAATGGCCTCGCGGACACCTGGGACGCGATGCCAGTACCTCCGCCTCGCGCACACTTACCCTTCCTCGGTCATGGTTGGTGGTAATGCTCCCACCAGGAGTTCCTGAAAACAAGACAAATCTCCGTTAAGGCTTCGAAAATGCACCCCAAAGTTTGTCCTCCCGCCTTATCCTTTTAGTTCCTCCCCCCCACCCGACCCCGAAAAGCGAAAGAAACCAATAACCTTTTTTTAAAAAAAAAAAAAAAATACTAAACTCCAGGCCTACCAAGGCACGCGCTCACCTTACAACTTCCACGAGTCGCCGGTGAAAAGGAAGAGGAGGAGCCTCCGGACTCTTATTTAACCCCGCAAGGACCCCCCCTACTCCCCGCTTCTGAAAATAGGTGTCTAACTATATTGCCTGTTTTTGGCAGAACGGGGGAAACTTGTAGGAATTTCAAAGGTTAAACAACAGAACAGAAGGCGAAGGTCGCGTATTCGGGCGGCGAGAATCTTTGAAGCACTAAGACTAAGCCAGGGGTAGGCAACCTCGGCTCTTTTATGACTCGTGGACTTCAACTCCCAGAATTCCTGAGCCAGCTATGCTGGCTCAGGAATTCTGGGAGTTGAAGTCCACGAGTCATAAAAGAGCCGAGGTTGCCTACCCCTGGACTAAGCGCTTTGCCAATAGGTGTCCAGGCTACTGCCGGAAATATATTCCTCGGCACCATCCGAAAGGCGCGGGGGAGGCTGTCTTTCGGGAGTTTTGATTGGATGATAGAAACGGTGCTGAGTATAAAGTGAATGGTATTCGTGTAATGTATAAATTATCAGGGGCAAGCTACATTTCTGTTACTTTACTGTTTGGCTAAGTGCACCTGATCGGTTATTATTATTATTTTTTTTTGGAGGGGATGAACTTTTTGTTTGATTTGCCTTATTAAAAATCGCCGTAAAAACACCTGCACGCACGCTGAATTGCGTTTCTGTCGTGCTTAACTTCACTTCCTTTCACCTAATACTGGGACTGGCAAATAAGTGCATGGTGCTTTGAATAAACCCAAGCCGTCACGCAAGTCAACATCTAACAGCTGTCAAATTTTATTTTAATATAATTATGATAATTGTAGTTTCTATATTAAAATAGACATTCGAATTTTATAAATCAGGTTGCTCGGTAATAGATCATTTTGTTGATTGCTCAAACCTACCATTCCTAATTCTAAACCAGTTTTTAAAATTAGTAAATGCTGTTGTACTCCTTGAGTTACTGCTGAGTGCAGCACAGAATACACTCTTCTAAATAAATTTTAGAATAAATTGAACTAAGCAAACTGTTTAGTATATATTCCTCGTTCACAGAATGTTGTTGGAATGTCAGACGATGTCCTGCATTTATAATCTTAGGTTTTCTCGCTGATTCCTCCACTTTTCCTTCTTGGGAAAAATACCTCTGAAGTGGAAGACAGAATGCTTTTTGATATCTAACACTGGGAGGCGCTCTTTGCATATGATAGCAACCTGAACCAGCTGCAGCAAACTTTATGTGAACTTGATGTCATATTTGAACTTTTGCTAGATTTGGTTGGATTGCACGAATGAATTTGTAAAATGTAAACATGTAAGGTTCTAGTAAAGGCTCACTTATGAGGAAGTAATAATTTGGAACTCAAGAGTATTCATTTTCATAGATAGTGATGGTTACAGTGAATATGTTGTTGTAGAACCCTATGCATCTTATTTCAAAGTTGGCTTTACCAAAGTAATTTTTTTAACTGTTATTTTCG